CCATATTTTATTATATATATGTTGTATTGTACATGATGAGTTATAATGAATTGTGGTGAGAAAATGTGGAATATATGTATTTTGTGCTTGTGTATTTGTGTATATATAATTATATGCATTGTTATTATGATAATATTTCTCACCCTTCTGCTGGAATGATGTCCTACATGACATCGTGCAGGTATCAAGGAGTAGTATTGCTCGTAGTTACGAGGTCGCTTTTGGTGTAGCCGTTTAGTGATTTAATTATGTTGGGTCGAGTCATGCTCTGGTCATGTAACACTGGGATCGCTTCGGTTGTGTTTAAGATATACATTATGTACTCTATAAACGTGTTTATATCCATTGGAGTATTATGACGTTGGCCTTAGTGCCTAAGTGATGTTGTTTTATGTGATAAAAACAAATGTTTCTTTTATGAAAATTGTGGTATAATTGAATCCGCTGCTACATGCAAAGTGAAGTTTTGTAAAGCATAATTCTATATTGAAATAGTAATGAGCATGACAGGTGGTTTTGATATTTTGAAAGTTATATGTAATGCCCTTTTGTAAATGCATGGAAATTTACTCTAATTATTCATATATTATCCGTGGGGTTTAGAAGGGTGTTACATCTATGCAATACCAGACCTGATATTTGCTATTCTGTTGGGATGGTTAGTAGGTTCATGAGTAAACCTAAGTGGTCCCATTACCAAGCTGCTGTCAGGATTCTGAGGTATATCAAGGGAACTCTGAAGTATGGAGTGTTGTTTCCTTCTGGAAGAAAGGATGAGTCAAAACTTCTGAGTTAGTCAGATTCTAATTGGTGTGGAGACAAAGTTGACAGAAGAAGTACCTCTGGATACTTGTTCAAATTTCTGGGAGGTCTCATTTCTTGGTGTTCCAAGAAGCAACCTGTTGTGGCGTTATGAACCTGTGAAGCTGAATACATTGCAGGTGCTGTTATTGCATGCCAAGCTGTGTGGATTCTGAATCTGTTGCAGGATCTGAAGATTAAAATAAACAAACCTCTGAAGTTGATGATTGACAACAAGTCTGCAATCAATTTTTCCAGAAACCCAGTGTTGCATGGGAGAAGCAAGCATATTGAGACAAAGTATCATTTTCTGAGACATCAAGTTCAGAGTGGAGTGTTAGAAGTTATACACTGCAGCACTCAGAAACAGTTGGCAGATGTTCTGACGAAAGCTATCAAGACTGATCAATTTCTCAGACTAAGGGATGGAATTGGTGTTACAAGTTTTGATGAAATATGAATTAAGGGATGGTATTAGAAGTAATTCATATTTATTAGTTGTACTATTTTCTTAGCCCCTAAGTTTGTTAGAGGGTATTTTAGTATTTTTATCTTATTCTAGTAACCCTAGTATTAGTTTATAAATAGGGTATCAATCATTGCAATTTTGTAGTAGTGTGTGTAGCCGTCATTCTCTTAATAGAATATTTCTCTATTCATCATTTATTCTACCTTTGCACCAATAATCTAATATATAATTTAATTGAAATTAAGTAACATAATTTATAATTTATAAGAAGTTGGAAATGTGTTTTTTATCTGAAAACAATTATATGTTTTTTATAATTTTATTATGTATTTTTAACTATTTGAGTGAATGATAATATTATGTATACTATGATTTTGTTTTATTTTATTATAAGTCAGTCTGTTTTTTAGGCGAAAATAAATTATTTTTTAATAATGTCTCTTATGAAAAATAATATTTGCTTTTATTTTGTATAAATTTCATAGTGAAGTGAAAGTTTGTTGTAATTCAACGCATGATATGATATTGATAAATAATAATAAAAAATTATCTTTTTTATCTATCCTAAAATATAGTATCATTTAAACTTAAATAGGAGCTTTGTTTTGATATTATTAATAAAGATGAAAATAGTTAAGATATTACAAGAAAGTATATTATTTTGGGAAATTAAAGATTTAAAAATATATATATATATATATATATATATATATATATATATATATATATATATATATATATATATATATATATATATATATATATATATATATATATATATATATATATATATATATATATATATATATATATATATATATATATATATATATATAAATAGTCGTGCATAGGATGAGTTTGTCGTATAAATATTATTATGTTAAGTGTGTAAGTTTTTTTAATAAAATAAATATATAGATAAAATAAAAATTAAGGAAATACAATATACAGAGGATGTAAACCAAACTTAATCACGTTATAAAATCGGATATACAAATAGATTAAATAAAATAAAAGTGATTTAAATTAAACTAAAGCAAACACACATGCAACGAGCACTATCCAACGAACCTGGGTACAACGTGAAATCAAATAGCAAAAAATAAAAGAGTTTTGTGTGAGTCTTCATTTTTTGAGATGGCGAAAAAACTAACTACCAACATAAACTGATTTATAAACCAATAACCTCTAGAATCAAAACTAGCAAGTAAGACGACTTTTTTCGAGCCAAACAATCCAACATCAATCAAACGTAATGATACGGATATCAAATCAATTTGACATCTGTTAAGTATTACAAGTGTGAGTATTGTGGATAATAGTCTCACATTTGATAGGAATGTGGTGACTTGAGTATTTATAAGTGGGATAGCACACACACCTATCACCTTAAGATTTTGGACGAATATGTGGTGTGTCTCTCACAAAGGTGTTGCTCTATAAAAAAAAGTCTCACAATGTTCAATGCTCTCTACTAAAAATCTCCTCTAACAGTGGTATCAGAGCCTTTGGACGTCAACGGCGGTACAAGTGTATATGGATGAAAAGAGCTTTCGTTTAAGGGGGCATTGTGGATAGACTCACACTTGAGGGGGAAGTGTTAAGTATTACATGTGTGAGTAGTGTGGATAATAGTCTCACATTGGGTAGGAATATGGTGAGAATGTTCAATGCTCACTAGTAAAAATTTCCCCTAACAACATCAATCATAATTAGTAACATAAATATTAAGTGAGCACTGGTTTAGAGAAGGAAACCCTTAAGTCTTGAAACTTATAGATCTCAATAGATCTGAATATAATTAGAGAATCAAAAGCTCAAGATATCAACCATAAACGCAAACCTGCGATCATGGATAAACCATTATCATTGAAGAGACACACCGAAGAAACTAAAGGACTTGCCACCATGGAGAGCATTGTTACAGAGTTGCATAACACAATAGCAAGCCAACAAAATGCTCTACCACCAGAAGTTACCAGCCACCCGAACAGAGGCGTCACCCAAATCATTGGAATGGAAGAACCACTTCAAAAGGAAAAGTTACCATAGAACATGTCTGATGGACCACCGAAATAGAGGAACCACTGGAACAACCACCGAAAAAGCTACAAGAAAAAAGGAACCATCTGAAACGCTAACAAAGAGACCACCGACGCAATGGCGGCATCACTCTAAATCGGCCAGAAACGAAAGCTACGTCAGAAAAGATGAAGTTTGGATATGAGGAAGGGAGAGGAACATCAACTTTTATAGAGAGTTTAGAGGAAAAAATGAGGAGAGACCTTGTGATCAAAACTAAGTGTGTGAAAGTTAAACTCAAAATAAAATAGATAATGTTATCAAATTAATTAAATGGGTGTATTATATATATTTTTCTTTTAGTATGTGATTTAACATTAAGGAGGCGTTTGATTTGCAAAATGGGAAAGACTGGACAAAATACTACAATACAAAAGTTTTAAGTATCAAACAACTTTTTATTGATGGACATTAGACAGGAACAATAATAATAAGTAAAATTTACAACAATACTCTTTTTATATATATATATATATATATATATATATATATATATATATATATATATATATATATATATATATATATATATATATATATATATATATATATATATATATATATATATATATATAGAGAGAGAGAGAGAGAGAGAGAGAGAGAGAGAGAGAGAGAGAGAGAGAGAGAGGCGGAACATGCTTGGGACAGGGGGAGCCACGCCCACCCCAAACTTTTTAAAATTTTTTTTTTATATAGTGAAAATACTAAAATAGCCTTTCTTATATTTAAAAAATAACAATTTTACCGTTATACTATTAACTAAACAAACCCTAATTTATCTCATTCCAAAAGATGCAGCCTCCCTTTCTCTTTCAATTCAAGTTTTAGAAAACAAAATTTGAAAACCCCACGTCATTGCGTCGCTGGTATCTGTACGAGACTCGTTCGGCCAACCACCAACGCCGCCACCGAAGACTGTCGTGAGTTTGTTTCGTTCATCTTAATCTTCTTCATTTAAAATTGTTCAAAATAAATTGCTCCAAATTCACATAATATGTAAAATTCTTGTCTTCGTTATGATTATTTTATATTTTATTTTATTATTACTTATTAGTTTTCAAGTTTCTTTGAGTTTTCTCACAAAAAATAATCTACTGCATAATCAATTTGTTATGAAAAGAAAACACTATAGTTTGGCATAATGTGCTACTTGTGAACTGTTCTCACTAATGCTATTCACTTATTTTAATTATTGTAGCTTATTGTCATTAAATTAATATTCACTTATTTTAATTTGTCGTAGCATCTCTCTTGTATAAAATTGCTAATGTAGCATACTCTTATTAAACTAATTTTCTTTAACTCAACCTTTAATTGTTGTAATATGAATTTGTGTTCAAACTATTTTAGAATATTATCAAACTTTTTCAATGATAGCTATGAAAATTTTGTTCATAACCTGTTTTTAATTTCATACCTATATAATATTATCAAAAACTTATATTTTTTTTCTCTTCAATTGTTTACAAAAAGTAGGTCAATAGAGAAATAGAAATAAAATAAGTTTAAAATGTTGAATTATATTGGATGTTTGTTGCTAATTTATTACTAAGTTACTAACTTATTAATATTTGTAAAATTGAATTATGTTGGAATTTTATTGTGTTGTTTTAATTTATTTAATTGCTTATGCAACACAAAAGTGATAATGAAGAGTAGAAAAATTGATTTTTTTTTCAAGAGGAAAGAAAGAGATGAAGAGAATTTAACATCAATGTCTGAACCTACAAGAGTTATTGAGAATCCAAGAATAGAAGAAAACGTTAATAGAGTTTGTTCGAATGACATTGGGAGTTTTTTAGAACGTGATCCTGGCAAACGTCCTTCAATGTGGGAATATCCAGTAAATCAAATGGATGAAATACAAAGAGCTTATTTAAAATGGGGTCCATATCAAATGAATTTAGAGAAATATCCATCGTCTGGTAAAGAAGACCATCAAAGACGTTTTCAACACGCTTGGTTTAGCCTTTTTCCTTCATGGTTAGAATATTCACCTCCAGAAGATGCTGCTTATTGCTTACCATGTTATTTTTTTAGCAAAAGACTAAGTGGACGTCCTGGTTCTGATGTCTTCATTTCTATAGACTTTAGAGGTTGGAAGAAAGTTAGAAATGGAAAGAATTATGCATTTCTTAAACACATAGGGAAAATTCCTTGTTCTCCATATAACAATGCTATGAAAACTTGTCAAGACTTGTTGAATCAAGATGGTCACATTAGGAATATTATTCAGGCTCAAAGTTCAATTGAAATTATGAAGAATCGACTACGTCTCAAGACTTCAATTGACATTGTTCATTGGTTAACTTTTCAAGCGCGTGCTTTTAGAGGTCGTGATGAAAGTACAGAATCATTAAACCAAGGAAATTTTCTTGAATTGATAAAACTCTTAGTAGGTTACAATGATGAAGTTGTAAAAGTTGTGTTAGAAAATGCTCCATCTAATAGCAAGTATACTTCACAGCTAATTCAAAAAGAGATCTTGCACATTCTTTCAAGTAGGGTGAAAAAGCATATCCGTGAAGAAATTGGTGATTCCAAGTTTTGTATAATTGTAGATGAAGCGTGTGAAGAATCCAAAAAAGAGCAAATGTCTCTTGTTTTAAGATTTGTTGATAAAGATGGTTTTATACAAGAGAGATTTTTTGGTCTTGCACGTGTTTGTGACACTGCATCTTTAACTCTTAAGCAAAAAGTTTGTGATATACTTTCTCTGCATAACCTTGATGTCTCCAACATTCATGGTCAGGGGTATGATGGTGCTAGGAATATGAGAGGAGAATGGAACAATTTACAAGCAATCTTTATGAAGGATTGTCCTTATGCATATTATGTTCATTGTTTTGCTCATCAATTGCAACTTGCTTTGGTTACTGCATCAAGAGATATTAAACCAATTCATCAATTCTTTGAGAAGCTTACTTTAATTTTCAATGTTGTTTGTTCTTCTACAAAGCGCCACAACGAGTTACAAGCTTCTCAATTAGATGAAAATGAACACTTATTAGAGATTGGTGAGATTGTAACTAGTAAAGGTGAAAATCATATTGGTACTTTAAAGCGAGCTGGGGATACTCGTTGAGGATCACATTTCTCTTCTATTTCTATCTTAATGAATATGTATGAAGCAACTTGTCATGTTTCAAGAAAATTTGCAAAGGAAGGATTAAGTTATGCTTCACATGGAGATGCTGATAGTGCTTACAATTATTTGAAGTCATTTAATTTCATATTCATATTGCATTTGATGAAAGAAATTATGGGGATCACAAATATGCTTTTTCAAGCTTTACAACAACAATCTCAGAATGTAGTTAATGCTATGTATTTGGTTAGTACAACAAAAACTCTTATTCAAGATTTAAGAGAAATTCGTTGGGATGAATTGTTTGCTTCTGTGAAGTCTTTTTGTGAAAAACATGATATTGAAATTCCTGATCTTAATGATGTTCATTCAACAATAAGATTTAGTCATTCCCGTCTTGAAGATAACCTGGTAACCATTGAGCATTATTTTAGATTTGAAATATTTTTCACTACCATTGACAAACAACTGCAATAGTTGAATAACATATTTAGTGAGTAAGCGATTGATTTGTTAACTCTAATTGGTGCTTTGACTCCCAAGGATAATTACAAGGCTTTTAACCTTGGTATCATTTGCACTCTAGTTGAAAAATATTATCATATGGAATTCAATGAGCAAGAGAATATTAATTTGAAATTTCAACTTCGACATTTTATTATTGACGCTCGTCAAACATCGAGTTTGAATAATTTGTCGACTATTCAAGAGTTATGTTCATCTTTGGTTGCAACTGAAAAGAAGGAAATTTATTATTTGATCGATAAACTACTCCACCTTATCATGACTTTGCCTGTATCTACATCTACTACGGAAAGATCTTTTTTGGCAATGAAAGTTATCAAGACAAGATTGATAAACAAAATGGAAGCTGATTTTCTAGGAGATAGCATGACAGTTAATATTGAAAGAGAAATTGTTGCAAGTATTGATTCCGAGACTATTATTGATGATTTCAAACTACTCAAAAACCGTAGAGCATTATTTTAAGGTATTTTTATATAATACTCTATAATCATTTCATGTTCAACTATGTGTTTATTATAATTTAGATATTTTATATACATTATAGTATAAATATTTGATTTATAAATTATAGATTAATTTTGTGGCCACTTTAAGCTTTATAGTCTCGTTCCTTCCGCCACGAGAGAGAGAGAGAGAGAGAGAGAGAGAGAGAGAGAGAGAGAGAGAGAGAGAGAGAGAGAGAGAGAGAGAGAGAGAGAGAGAGAGAGAGATGATATTTTCGTATTTTAAATAATTTTTACTAGGGACAAATATTTGTCTCATGGTTTAATGAGAGACAAAAATTACAGTTTTTATCAAATCCTTAATTCTGAATTTTATCCGGTCCCGTAAATATTTTTTAGATCAAATGCATTATAAGGAAAGTCATGTTGTCCAATCCTTTAATTTTTTTTTCAGATCCAACGTAATCTAAATTTAATTGATACAATTGAAATAAAGTATTAGTAGTGTTACTTATGTGTGTAAAATATAAACTATTTTTATTTTTATTTAATTTTAAATTTATTTTAAAATATTTATAAAAATAAAAAAAGATAATGATATGAAAGATAATAGAATGTCACATAACTAGCGTTTGTTAAAAAGAAATTTTAAATTTTAAAATAAAAATTAAAAAGGTTATATTTAGAAAAAAAATGATGCATCAAAATTATGTTTTGTATAGATATAATTAGTTAGAAATATGTTTTTTATCGAAAAAATATATATTTTGTTATGCATTTTTAATGTAATTGAATAAAATGACAATATTATGTTAATTATGATTTTGTTTTGGTTACATGCATTAAATTATTTAGATTAAAAATTTAAAGATAATTTAATTTTGTGATTTAATAATAATTTTGTTTTTATTTTATTTTTAATGTATTAATGGCAAAAACTTATCTTTTATTTTTTTATTTTTATAAAAGATAAAAATATTTATCCCATATAAATAACAAATGATTGTCACATACTTTTTAAAATGACAAATGTTTTTTTAACTTGATATTCAAATCTATGACATACTAGTTTTTTTTAACAACTAATACAAATATTATTAATAAAAAAAGATTATCTCAATAAGAAAAAAGTGCAAAAGATAGAAAAAACTAAAATCCAACTTACAATAGACGAAACAAACTAATACAAGATATTAAAAATTAATTATTGTATACAATATAACGGGTTGAATTACCAAACCCTAATTTTGATTTAATTTAAAATCTCTAAAATTGATAATTTATTCTCGTTAAATAATCTCTTATTTCATTTTTTACATAAAGTTCAACCACTCGTCCACAAAATGACACGAAGAACTTTGTTAATCATTTTTTCTATAGTCGACTAATTTAGAGAACTAATCTCATTTTTCACTATCGAGGGACCTAATTGAAGACATGGCAAAACTCTATATGAACTAACTCATTCAATGACAAATAAGTGTCTCATATTTCTTATATTTATCAACGTCAAAAATATAATTGATATATTTTTATATACCAGTAACAAAATATTTGCTCGGTGTCTTTTATATTCATCAATGATGAATATGTATTCTATATTTATTTATGCATCACGAATTTGTTTTGTGTTTTCTATATTAATCAATATCAAATATTTATTACGTATTTTTTTTTGTCAAAATTGAAAGTGTAATACATAAATTAAATAATTTTATGTTAATTTATGTTCATCAAGTAAAATAGTATTTCACTAGTGTCCATTGTCATGCCTGTGCATATTTATTGAACATAGAAAATAGGACATACTTTATGCATCAAATTCTATGTACTCGTATTGTTGTGAATCAGATGTCTTGAAAAAAACATAAACGGTTTCTTTATAATCAAGAAACACATAAGGGTTAGGGTTAACAAAGATAACAAGGTAAAACAACAAGGATTGGTTATAAACTGGTATTTTTTCCTTAATCTAAGAACAAGATTACAAGTATACAAGAATACCAAAATAACTTCTCTCTCTTGAAATTAGGGTTGTATCTTCATATTTTTCCTTATGCCAAGATTGAGAAACTAGCATCCTATTTTAAAAAAAATAGCACACTAACCTAATGAGCTTTTTAACAATTATCCATTACAAGCTAACTTAGAGTACAAGCTAACTTAAACAATTGGGCTTACAAGCAAGGCTCAATTCAACATGCTAACAACCCTAGAAATATTGACTAATGCATGTTAGAATAAACTTCGACTACAACACGCATTACTCTGACAGCAGCATGCGAATAAACTTCAACCTCATGCTTAATTCCTGTCGAACCAGAAGCTACCCTTCAACCTCATGCTTAATTCCAGTCGAACCAGAAGCTAACCTTCGACCATACTATAGTTCGATCCAACATCTCACAAATATCCACCTTGGATATAACTCTATAACATCAAGAAACTAACTTTCTTCATGGTGCTTTATCAACTGGATACAGTGGAAAAACTTGCAACTAGGCAACGTCTTGGTGATCATATCAGCAGCATTATGATCTGTCGAAACCTTCAGTACTTGGACTTGTCCACGCTCGATTACCCCTCTGACAAATTGCAGCATCACATCAATGTGCTTGGTTCGCTCATGATAGGTTGAATTCTTCGACAAGTGTATGTTGCACCCCAAAATTTGCCTAACCTTTTCTTACTTGGTTTATGTTTCATTGCATTAGCATATCATTGATCTAACATTTGCATAGCATAGCATTGTTCATTTGTGCATGGGATCAAGTGTGGTTTATATCCAGAGGAGCCTATCTAGAGGTCTTATTCAAGCTTAAGAAGTCACCATAGTTATCAGGAAGAGGGTTGGGTTCTTGAGAAGTTCAGTTGTTTGTATGTGGTTAATCTCCTAAGCTAAAGACCAATTGAAGACCATCAGTGGGTTGTAGAGCCTTGATCAGGGATAGAGTGAGCTCATAAAGTGCCTTGAGGGTCATGGTGGAGCTCAATCAATTCATTATGCCAAGTGTGAAGAGCCACAATTGAGGGTGTTGCAATTAGGGTTTTCATCTGAGTAACCCTAAGTCCATTGTGCAATTGAAGAGGATCAAAGCTCAATTCTAAGTCTTTGTAATCATGGGGAGTTATGTTGAGATATATGAGATGATATTCCAAGATCAATTCAAGAAGAATTCAAAGTGTGAGGAGTTGCTAAATTTGGGTTCTCAGGGTAAAATCCCCTATTTAGTGCCTAACTTCAAGACCACTTATCTCAAGATGCAAGTTTCATCTCCACTTTTGGCCAACATGAAACTTGTAGAGCATGCTCTTAGATTTAAGTTTAGTACTAGAAGTCCTCCATTGGATTTATAGAACTCAAGTTATGGTCCAGACAAGTTACAGGTCATCTGAGGAATGTGAAATTTGTCTATGAAAGTTCACCAACTTCCAAGGAACTTTTGACCTAGAAGGGTGTTTCTCTTGAACTTTTGGACAACATGAAAGTTGTAGGTCTTGGTCTTATATTTCCAAATTGTATTAGAAGTCTTCCATCTGATTTGTAGAACTCAAGTTATGAGGTTTACAAGTCAGGGGTAATTTGGGAAAGTAAGATTATAGGTCATTTGGCATTATAGGTCATTTTCTCCATCTTGCAAGCTTCAAATGCAATTTTGTTCAACACAAAACTTGCTCAAAATGATGTTTTTAGGTCAACCATGTCCTCATGATGAATTGATTTGGTTTAGGGTGAGACTTGGTTTGAGAAATTTTGCAAAAGGAAGAATTTAAAGGCATTTAATTGAAAAATTCATGATTAATTCATTTGTGTTTAAAATAGGCCATATGAATACTCATTTTAATCAGAAAAACATTCTAAACACATTGACAATATTGGATTTATCATTTGAGGTCTTTTTCATGGTGTTGTGGTTTGTTACTTCACAAGTAAGCAACACATCCAATTTTGTTCATATCATGAATTCAAGCATTCAAATCACTCTAGACACTCTCACCAGACCACAAGGAGTTGAATGTAAGCTT